CTCGAACCACGGTTGACTACATGGGAGTCCAGCAACATAACCATTACCCCAACTGCTGGTCCCTCTCAACTGCTTTTTAATATAGTGCTGGAAGTCTTAGCTAATGCAATCAGAAAAGAAAACAATATAAAAGGCATTAGAATAGGAAAAGAAGAGTTGAAAATATCTTTGTTCGCAGATAACACTATGGTATACTTAGAAGATCCAAAGGTCTCCATGAAAAAAACTTCTCGAAGTAATAAGTGAATACAGTAAAGTGGCAGGATACAAAGTCAACATCCAAAAAAGCTATAGTATTTCTATATATGAACAAGTTGAACGAAGTAGAGCTGAAGGAAGGAATCCCTTTCACCACAGCCACAAAATGTATAAGATATCTAGGGATAAACCTTACTAAGGAAGTCAAAGACCTTTATAAAGAAAACTATGAAAATCTTAAAAAATATATTGAAAGTGACATTAAAAAGTGGAAGGACATCTCATGTTCCTGGATTGGAAGAATTAACATAATCAAAATGGCAATTCTATCTAAATTAATCTACATATTTAATGCATTTCCAATTAAAATACCAGAGATATTCTTCACAGATCTAGAAAAGACAATCGCAGAATTTGTCTGGAATCATTAAAGACCTCGTATTTCTAAAGCAATCCTGTGCAAGAAGAGTGGAGTGGGAGGCATATCACTCTCTGATCCCAAGATTTACTATAAAGTTGTGATGATCAAAATAGCATGGTATTGGCACAAAAACAGACATGTAGACCAATGGAATAGAATAGAGACCCCAGAAATAACCCGTAAAGCTTACAGCCAATTGATTTTTGACAAAGGGTACCAGTCAATCCTTTAGGAAACAGAAAACCTCTTTAGTAAATGGTGCTGGAAAAACTGGGTATCCACCTGCACAAAGATGAAAAAAAATTATTTTTGTTTCTTCTGTGCTATTGTGAATTACAAACAAATGTTAAAACTTAGAGATGGTGTATGTCATGTTTAAAGTTACTCGGGTAATTGAGCCTTTTTAATACTGATTGGTTTGAGCATTTAGTAAAACATAAACAGATTTAGCTACATAATAATTACGTTCCTTGTTTCCATGACTGTCCTTTAACATTTTATTAAGCATGATTATTATTGACCTTTGAGTTCAGGTTCCACTAAGTGTTCTTTCCCTTTTTACTTGATCTTCTCACTGTATTGTTTTCTTTGCCTGCTATGAAGACATCTCCTCTCTCTGACTTTGTCTTCGATCTTACCATGTTTTTGGTCTGTGTACAATATGCATACGATCTTCTCCCCAAGATATGAGGAAGGACAAGGTGAGCATCTATTTGTGCAAGTGTAAAACTGACAGTTCACTGAGGGGCTTTCTTACTTTCCTGTTTGGAAACAGTGATTTCTTAACCTCAGGTTGCCTAGATTCATATCTTAGTTTAGTCACTCACCCTAGGAGTTATTTAACTTGGGAAAGTTATTTAACTTTCCTGTGCCTCAGATTCTTCATATGTAAAATAGAAGCAATAAAAGCACTAAATCCATTGGGTTGCTAAGATTAAATGAGTTGATGAATGTAAATCACTTAGAACCATGCCTGGTACAATGTAAGGTCTTGATATGTTGCCATCAGTTATCATCACCACCACCATCATCATGTGCTCACTTCAAACTTCCTTGGTTGTGTTTAAGCTTTAGGGAGAAGAGTCACAGGTATACTTTGCCACTGGGGGGGGGGGGTTTTTTTTGCCCCTGGGGGGGGGGGGGTGTCTCCCTTGCAGCATTTCTACTAATCAAGTCACCTTGTACAGTGAGGAGGAAAAATCTTTCCTAGTTGCTTTGGTTGTCAGGGGCCTCTAGGACTTAAGAAAGCAGATTGCTGTTTTTACTGCTCCATACTCAGGCCCAACAGTGGAGGTGAGTTTTGCTGTTATAGCTTTCTGGGGTAATCCTCTCCATTTTGTCCTTTTTTTGTTGTTGTTGTTCATTAGTCTCTTTATTTAAGTCTAAATTGGAACACAGTGTTCTTCCCTGCTCCAAGGGAGAAACAACACAACACTTGCAGAATTTTCTTTTTTTCTCTCTTGGCTCTTTATTTTTATTATTTTAGTCATCATTTAGGATCTACAATAATTTCTTTGTCAATTTATATTTAAATAATATACAATTTCAGGGACTTGCTGGTGGTTAAGGGTTCTGGACTCCCGAATGGCCAACCATGGTTCGAGTCCCAGAACTGATGGCTTGCTTTCTCACTTTCTCTCTCTCTCTCTCTGTCCCTCTCTGGCCAAATTAAAATAAGAAAATAGATAAATAAAGTTAAATAAAATAATTCTTTAATACATACACACCTTCACATATAATGTAAGAACTTTACAAGAGTGTACATTCTGTCTTAAGTTAGTGTCCTTTGAAATCACCTGCTAGAATACTTTGTGCTAATTCTTCCCAAACCTAGGATGGCTGAGCCTCAAATTTCCATCCTGACCTTTCTTTCACTGGGACAAAAGCAAAAGGATGCAGTGCTAATCTCCACCTTCATCAGGATGTGTGGACCTGAAAAAAAAAGAAAAAGGTAGACAAGGGTTTAGGGGTGAATAATAAAGAGGGAACACAATGGGGCAAAACAATAATGAAAACTGAGAAATCATCAGGCATTTTGGCACAGAGATCATCAAGCTCTGCTGTATGTTAGAATCCCTTCAAAGCTTTTCAAAATCTTAATGCCAGGGCTATATTCCAGACCAAATGCTCAATCTCTGGGGCAGGGCCCAGGTATCCCAGATATTAAAATTCAGTACAAGCATCTTGCTGCTCAAAGTGTGGTTGGTGGGCCTGTAGCATCAACATCAAATGAGAGCTTGTTAAAAATGCAAACTCTGAAGCCCCACTCTAGACCTAGTGAATCAGGATTTACATTAAACAAGATCACTAGTGATGAGTGTGCACACTAAAGTGTGAGAAATACTCCTTAGTGCCTGGTTGACAAACATAGCTGTGCTTTTAAATTACCTGATATTATGGACTGAATGCTTTTGTACCCTGAAAATTCCTAATATGATTTGTTTTTAGGTTTTTTTTTTTTTCAGCTTTTCCATAGGGTGCATATGCTTGCTGGAGTGAGACAGAAAGAGAGATGGAAAGTAAGAAACCACTCCCCATGGGGGATGACCACACCACAATCCTTTCTCTATTTTCTTCTTGAGATTTTGGGCATGCACGCACATACACCTGGTGTAATTTTTAAGAGTCCAGGACTAGAATTGCATGTCAGTCTTGTGGGATTCAGCTGTTCTAACTTTCACGCCACCTACTCGCCCTATGACGGTTACTTCTAAGTCTAAGACATGTTGCAGAAAATGAGAAAGCGTGTTCTGAAAAGAGCACTATTTGTGTGATAATATTTATTATTCATTAAAGAATCTATGGAATTATAGGAGCAAAAAAACTGATAGCTTAAGAAAACGAAGGAAGACTGCCATCAGACTTCTTGGATTTATCAGTATGAGACAATAGAGCTATTTATCTACAAAAGTGCAGTCTTCTTCAAGAAGGAAAAATGTCCTTAGAGATGACTGAGACATCATTGGGGCCACCATCTTGGTTTCAACAAACCAGACAGTCTCTGCTGAAAACCTTGAAAGGAAGACTGCCCAGCATAACCATAGTGATGGGGTTGTCTGGATCCTTACTGAAGGGGCCATCAAGCAGAGGCATAGGATGACAATCCCAAAGAAAATTGTAGGAGTGACACGATCAGCTGCAAGGGCCTAAAGAACAGAGTATGGAACTAAAGAGGATTAATATCAAAGCTTGTACTGCAATAAAATTTGCTGTGCTAGGTTTTAGACTTGCTTATTGCCTGTCATCCTTCCCTTCTTTCCTATTTCTCCTTGTATAAATGAAAATATCTTTTTTTTTTTTTAGGAGATTTTTGCTGTAGGGTGCGTGTGCTTGCTGGAGACACAGAGAGACAGAAAGCGAGAAATAACCTCCTAGGGGGGATGGCCATGCTGCAATCCCTTCTTCTCCACTCTCCGCTTAGGATTTTTGGCACACACACACGTGCCCTTTGTGAATATTAAGCTGCCAGGTCTGGGACTTGAACTGTGATCGATTATGTGGGAGTCTAGCAATATAACCATTCTGTTATCTGCTCGTCCTGAAAATATCTTTCCTATGTTTATCCCACTATTGTATTTTGGAGAAATAACTTGTCTGGTTTCACAGGTTCCCAGCTGGAGAAGAATTTAACCTAAGGATAAACCATATCTCATATTTTACCCACGTCTGATGTAGATGATTTTAGATGAGAGTTTGGAGTTCAGAATTTATAGCTAATGCTGGAAAGAGTTGAGCTTTTTGAAGATTTTTGTATGTGTATTGGTTAGCTTTATTTGCCAACTTGACAGGGCTGAGGCATGCCCAAGTAGCTGGTAAAACACTATTTCTGGGTGTGCCTGTGACAGTGTTTCTGGAAGAAATGAGCATTTCTTAATCAGCTGAATGAGAAAGATCCATCCTCACCAATGTCAACGGGCATCATTCCATCTATTGAAGGCACAAATAGAACAAAAAAGTGTTGGAACACTGCATTGCCTCTTTCTCTCCTTGAGCTGAAACATCTGCCTTCCCCTGCACTTGGGCATTGGAGCTCCTAATTATCAGGCCTTCAAATCCAAACTGAATAATACCACCAGTTTTTCTGGGTCTCCAGTTTACAGTGGAATATTTTGGGACAGACTTCTTGACCTCCATAACTGTGGGAGCCAATTCCTGTAATAAATCTTCTTTTTATATTTATATCTATATTTGTATCTATATCTGTATCTTTCCATTTATTCTTCCTATTGGTTTAGTTTCTCTGGAAAATACTAATATAGGATCACTTGCATAAATTTTGCACCCAGGAAAGACATAAAGTTTGGGAGGCCACAGGCAAAATGCCATAGAATGAAAGGGCCCTGCCCCATATTTAAATATTAAAGCCCTATCCACCAATAGGATAGTTTTTGGAAATGGGCCTTTCGGATGTAATTAGGTTTAGATGAGGTCACAAGGACAAAGTCCTGGTATGATGGTTCTTATAAGAACAGACACCAGGGAGTGTTTCCTCTCTTGCTCTTTCTCATCTCCCCACTAAGTGAGAAGGAGACCATCTCTAAGTTAACAAGACAGCCTTCTCCAGAAACTAACCATGCTAGCACCCTGATCTTAGGCTTTCAATTTCCACAAAGATAAATACATTTCTGCTATTTATGGTAACATAAGCAGATTGACCCTAGGTGAGCTGGAAAACAATACTGATGTCACTATTTACACTCAATCATACTCTCATGCAAATATTGGGCCAACACAATAAAAACTTACTATAACTTCAGCATTATTAAATTGGTAAATATCTAAAGGGATGTGGAACCCTCTCATTCCCATGATGTTGTGGACATGCACATACACACACAATTTATTCCCTTTATCACAAATTGGTCTGTCATGTACCATGGACTGTCAGACCATTGTCTGTAAGCCAAATCAATTCCACTAAGTTTTTGTAGTAAATTCTTATTGGAACAGAACCATGCTCATTTACTTACACATTGCCTGCTCTTGGATTGGGCTACAAAGATAGAGTTAGAAGAGGAGATGGAGACAATATAGCCCATAAAACCTAAATTATTTACTATCTAGTCTTTTATTTATTTATTTATTTATTTATTTATTTATTTATTTATTTATGTATTAATTTTAGATAGATAGTTTTTTTATTTCAAGTTCTTTTATACAGTAAATCAAATTATTAAGATTGGAATGTATAGAAAAACTGTGGCACATATACTCAATGGAATACTATTCAGCCATAAAAAAAAACCCACTGGCTTTTGACAGGAAGTAGATGAATATGAAAGATTTACTGCTGAGTGAAGCAAGCCAGGCTATGAAGGAGAGGCATTGTATGTCCTCACTTAAAATATACCTAGTGTCTGTACTCTATGACTGAAACTAATTCACTAAG